TTGTTTGGCGGGTCCGGGCTGGGGATTCGAACCCGCCACCTTAGGTGTACGTGGCTGGCGCCTTAGCCGGTTGAGCTATAGGCGCCGAGCCCATCATATTTATCTTAAGGAAAGTCTTCAAGTTACTACCATCACCACCACCACCACCACCACCAACAGAAACTAACTTTTAGGTTGATTAGAAAAAGCAAGGCATATTTTCAGTAACTTGTGTGATGTATGAAATTGCAAACATGATAGCAAAACCATGGTAATTGTGGGGAATGAGTATGTTAGATCAATGTGCAACTAAATTTCTGAACTGTTTCTTTCCTCAGAAGGTGACCTGTGAAGAAAAGTGATACAAATACTGGAAAAACCTAGTGCTCAGTCCAGAACAATGTCACAAGTTCAAACCTCTTATTCATATGATGTCCCTAAGGACTTTATTGACTTTACATCTTTGGATGATGAAGGAGACACTGAAAACATAGATTCATGGTTTGGTAAGTATCTGTTTTCTCTGGCCTTTTTTTTTTCTTTTTGGTGGGGGGGACTGAGGGTCTGTGCACATACCTAAGATCTCTGCCCATTTTAAGGGTTAGTGGCTTGCCTTGTGTTGAGGACCTTTAAAAAATAAAGGGGTTTTAAGAAAATAAATATGAGAATACCCTGTGTTTTGGGAATGGGCTGTAAGTACAAATCAATGTCATTTTGTAATTGAGAATGACAAATATTTAGGCCTTAGGGACATAATGGGAAAATTCAGATGAAACAATATTCATTGAAACTCTAAGACTCAAACATGACTGTGGTGATGGTAGCCACATAAAAACTTTCTTTGTTATCATTGGGTGCAGAGTATAATACCACAACTGATATATTGACATTTATGCAATCCACCAGTCTTATCAAAATTTCTTATTTTTCTTTCTTTTTTTTTGGGTTTAGCAGGCCTGGGCTGGGTTCAGGCCCCCCCCCCCCCTTCCTCCACGGGTCTGGTGCTTTAACCATCGAGCTACAGAAACACAGCCCTGAAATTTCTCGTACTCATTTTGTGTGTTTGTATGTGTATTAACTTAAGCAATTTTATCACTTGTGTAGGGGAGTGTATCTATCATTACAGTAGAGATACTGAACAGCTCTAATATCACAAGGATCTTTTGGTTATATTTTTTTTAATTTTTTTTTTTTTTTTTTGAGACAGTCTCAAGCTGTTGCCCTGGGTAGAGTGCCTTGGTGTCACAGCTCACAGCAACCTCCAACTCCTGGGTTTAAGCAATTCTCTTGCCTCAGCCTTCCAAGTAGCTGGGACTATAGGTGTCCGCCACAATGCTCGACTACTTTTTGGTTATAGTTGTCATTGTTGTTTGGCGGGACCCGGCTGGACTTAAAACTGCCAGCTCCCATGTATGTGGCTGGTGCCCTAGCCGCTTGAGGTACAGGTGCTGAGCCTTGTGTTACATTTTATAACTATACTTATCTCCCTCCCATCAATACTCTCCCAATTCATTTTTTTTTTTTTAAGGAGATGGGATCTTGCTACTCAGTTTAGTCCTGAATTTCTGGATTCAAGCAATCTGTCTGTCTTGCCTCTGTAAGTGTTTTTATTTTTTATTTTTATTTTTATTTATTTATTTTTTTGAGACAGAGCTTCAAGCTGTCACCTTGGGTAGAGTGCCATGGCTTCACTGCTCACAGCAACCTCCAACTCCTGGGTTCAAGCGAGTGTCCTGCCTCCGCCTCCCAAGTAGCTGGAACCATAGGTGCCCGCCACAACGCCCCGCTATTTTTTGATTGCAGCCATAATTGTTGTTTGGAGGGTCCAGGCTGGATTCGAACCGGCCACCTTAGGTGTATGTGGCTGGCGCCTCAGCTGCTTGAGCCACAGGCGCCGAGCCAAGTGTTTTTATTTTTGAGCTAGAGTCTAGCTCTATTGCCTGGACTAGAGTTCCATGGCATCTTTATAGCTTACTGTAACCACAAACACTGGGGCTCAAATGATCCTCCTTTCCTGAGCCTCCTGAATAGCGGGGACTATAGGCTCAAGACACCATGCCCAGCCAATTTTTCTATTTTTTGGTGGAGGTGGGGTCTGGCTATCTTGAACTGAATGGGCTGATCTTAAACTCCCAGCCTCCCAAAGTGCTAGGATTATAGGTGTGAGCCACTGTGCCCAGTCCTGGCCCACTAATTTTTAATTGAAGGGATTTTGCTACTAAGAACCCAGATATGTAGTATATTAGTTTCCAATTTTTTTCTTCCTAATGATCATATCTTCTTACATAGTTGTAGTCAGAAGATATTATTGCTGGATCTTTCTGCATTCCAGAAGCTCTACCTGGCACCAGGCTATTGAGAGAATAGAGATAGGATTTCCTGACATTAGGTCATGTGATAGGGCACAAGCTCTGCAACCAGACCAATAATAAATAGGGATGTAGTTATAGTTTTACTTTACTCTGGAATAATATGCAAGATCAGTTGTGTTAGGCTAGTAGTTGAAGGGGTCCCTTCATTTTATTCCTGACTATGTCTTCATCCTCCTTATATTAAAATATCAATATTCATATGTGGTAGGGAACAAAAGTGAATGTCTTGCAGCCATACTTACCACTTGTAATGCATTGTCCAAATGTGATGCCATTCTCTTGGGAAAGGACCTCAACGTTATCCAGTGGGGATCCTGAGAGAAGTCTGTTGGAAGTATTATGGGAAGAAGGATAAATAAGAGGGTTAGTTGTCCTACAGGGATCGTCCTCAGGCCCTTGCTTCACTGAAACCCTGAGGAGATGAGTGGGCTGTCTGAGGATTTCTTTTTTAAGTTTTTCTTTAAAACAAAAAAGAGGAAATATTAGCATAACAGCACTATTAAACATAGTTTGGAAGAAAAGAAATTGATCCTACTCATTTTCAAAACTACCTTAGTACTAATATGTTGCTTTCCAGATTTTTTTCCTACATACTCATATTGGTTTATACAGTTGCAATCAGAGTGTATTATTGCTGGGTCTCACTACATTTCTGAAGCTCTACCTATCAGTAGGCTGTTGGTAGAACAGACATTTTACTGTTTTGCAGTGACTTCTAGGCACAGTAGAACCTAAAGTAACATTTCTTGAGAGAATCTAGCTTTGCTCCACCCTTATACACCCTGCACTCCTTTCCACCCCATTGAGGAAGAAACTATAAGACTATAAGATATCCCTTGTAAGCCTTAACAGATCCTGGTGGCTACAGTTTTATTTAAGAGGAACATGATGTATTTAGAGGTAGATAAGGCTAGTCTGTGCTTGTATGGCCATAAGTGTGAATCCTAGCAAAGATAAGGAGTTATTCTCAATGCAGAATCTGCAATTTTCCTTTTCTGTAATACATTGTTTAATGTTGCCAGTGTTTTAGTGATTATTTTTACAGTCTATCTGTGGAGTATATTGTGTATTCATTTCTTTTTCATTGTTAGAACTCACTTGTACTTCCTAGATGAGTTGGAAGTATACTAGTAGCAGGCTTTAGCCCCTGGTATTAATTTGCCTAGATTCCTTGTCGATTGTTTGGTCAATGATAATCTTGCCTTTTCACAGAGGAAAAGGCCAATTTGGAGAATAAGCTTCTTGGGAAGAATGGGACAGGAGGACCTTTTCAGAGCAAAACTCCTTTGAGAAAGTCTAATCTTCAGCAAGCTATTGTCACACCTTTGAGACCAGGTAAGAAAACATCTTAGGAAAAAAACTCCTTGGCAGAATGGTGGAACAGTATATTAGGAGCCTGATGGCCTAGAGAAATTACATAAATGCTTTATCCTTTGGTTTATTGTTGGTGAAATAGGCTAGTTAATTTTCATGATGAATATAAAAGTAACCATCTTTTTTTTTTTTTTTTTTTTTGAAATAGAATCTTACTATGTCGCCCTTGGTAGAGTACTGTGGCGTCATAGCTCACAGCAACCTCAAACTCTTGGACTGAAGTGATTCTCTTGCCTCAGCTTCCCCAATAGTTGGGACTACATGCACCTGCCATAATGCCCCACTGTTTTTTGGTTGCAGTTGGCATTGTTATTTAGCAGGCCTGGGCCAGGCTCCAACCCACCAGCCTTGGTATATGTGGCTGGTGCCCTACTTACTGAGCTACGGGCACTGAGCCAAAACTAACCATCTTTTTGAATTTAAGCTAATATAGAATGTTCTTGCCAGACACATAATTGTTTTCTTTTTATGACAAGATTTAACATAGCCTAACCTGTGTCCAGCTGGGAAACAAAATAGCAGAAGAGCAGAGTATACTGCTAACTATTGTACAAAAATTCTTTGAGTCACGTATTTGATTTTAAAAGATGATTCACATTTAAACTAGTGGTTACTGAACCTGCAGAATATTGCCTACTTGATCAGATCATAAGAAGCATTTTTTAAAATCATATTGGAAATGATTCTTAAGAAAAAGTACCTCTAGGCTGGGTGCGGTGCCAGCACTAGGGAGGCTGAAGTGGATAGATTGCCTCAGCTCATAGGTTGAGACCAGCACAGACCCCAGTCTCTAAAAATAGCCGGGCATTGTGACAGGTGTCTATAGTCCTATCTAGTTGGGAGGCTGAGGCAAGCGAATCACTTAAGCCCAGGAGTTTGAGGTTGCTGTGAGTTATGATGCCATGGCACTCTACCAAGGGTGACAAAGTGAGACTCTGTCTCAAAGAAAAAAAGAACAGAAAATATAGTTCTATTTAGATACAACTAACATATCATGTAATTTCCTTATTTAAAATATACATTTCAGTGTTTTTTAGTATATACACAGAGTTGCACAACCATCACCCTAATCAGTTTAGAACATTGGAAAATTATTCCATGGATAAATCTAAAATTGGCCTCAATCACACCATATCACAGAAATAGCTATTTTGTCTACAAAGTCTGAGCTGCTAGGCTGACTTTCAAATAATTAATTCATGAGTACAGGTGGTATCTAAAGAATTCAGGATCTGGACAAGGACCCTGAATTTTGGCATTCATCTTTCTTGCAAGGGGTTAGAATTATGTGGCATGCTTCATCTGACATACTTGGAATACCCAAGTGCTGTAGTTTTAGGTGAATATAATTAGTTCATTCAGTGTGACAGATTTTCTGTTCTTGTAATGGTCTTTGTGCTCTTCTTGAATTGAAAGTGGCTGCCGGCTCGGTGCCTGTGGCTCAAGTGGCTAAGGCGCTAGCCACATACACCTAAGGTGGCAGGTTCGAATCCAGCCTGGGCCCGCCAAACAACAATGATGGCTGCAACCAAAAAATAGCCGGGC